AATCATCATCTTAATCTTGGTTAAGTTCAGGTTGGGATCCCCACTAGTTGAATCGCAAAGAGAAATTCCAGTTCTAAATCAAGTGCAGCACAGTGGATCAACAACAAGGTACATGTGTGTGAAAATCACAAGAGACATAAAAGCATGCATGGCAGAGCATTGGTTTCTGCTGCTGTAATGCAAAAACTAAAATGGAATGGCCAGGAGCTAGTATTTACATGTAGCTCTGGGCCCACAATGCCTGGTATATGAATGTTCAAACTGAGCATATGATGGCAAAAACATATCGCAACTATCAGAACTGTCAAAAATATCCATAGAAGATTTTGTTTAAATAAAAAAATCAAAGGCTAATCTTTCTCTCTGTGTGTGATCTTGAGTAATTTTTTATTTATTTCATGGACAACTCCATTCGTTCACTGATGCAGGGAAGCGAGATTTTCATAACTGTTCCCAGTGCATACACTCGCATGTCAGTGATCAGTCTAAATGACTGTCTTTGTATGCCTTGCACACAAGGCAATCCCTCGCAAGTAAAACTTGGCAACTTTCAAGTCAATGTGAAATGACAAAATGAACATATAAAAATTTCAGGATGCACACAACAGAACTGAAAGAATCTTAATTTTCTTCCCTCTCTTACAGAATAAGCATTCATACACGTATTTTCTTGTTCAGCATTTCATATGTAAAAATATACCAGTATTCAGTGTTGGAGTACTCAAACTCAAACTCAACTCTTACTCAAGTACAAGTTGAATACGTCAGAGTACTCAGCCCGTACTCGATCATCAGTACTTGAAAATTCATTGTACTTGGCCCGTACTCGACTCTTTGCACTTGGATTTTGAGCATACTCAACCCGTAGGTGCTCGGTACTCGGCCTTTGTACTCCAAAAAAAATTGAGTACTTTTTTTTTTATCAATCATGGTTTGTGGTTCTGGGTGACGAGTGAAGATTGCATTGCTCAAACTCAAACACAACGCAATACGACACAGCAGTTTCACTCTGTAGTCTGTAACATGAACAAAATGCTTATCGTACCCTGGGTACAAGGAGCCTTTCAGTTAATCTAGTTTCCGCCTCTGCAGCTTTTACTTGAGAAATCGTAGGACTGATATGAGCCAAGCTCAAGCTCCATGAGCATCACAGCACATTGACTGACACTAAGAGAGGCTTTGTTGCACTCGTTCATACCTTTTCCATAGTCGGTGATTTCTGATATGCAATTTGTTGAGGCCTAAAAAAGGTCTGCTTCCAGTTTTCCGCCCGACCCTAATTTTTTGGCGAGACCCTAAAATCTTTAATGCCAAGTTAGGAAAAAATTAATTAAAAAAAAAAATCTCTTACATAAAAAGAATCTTGTTGTCTTTTCTGTTTTCGTTACACTACACCGTATATGCATACAGCATGTAGTAAAAAACATAGATGTTGTAAAAAGATTTCTGTAAGTTAATTCACAGAACTTGACCTCTTGTCTATGTATTTTCTGTGTTCATAAATGTCATATGAGGTAATACTCATACTTGAAGCGAGCATTTCCACAAAATTTCCTGCCATGGCCCAAGTTTATCGCCCACCCCTCTAAATGCATCATGTACACTTACCACGTGATATATGAACATTGTTTCCTGTCGTGATTACCTGACTAGCATTGTGTATAGTGGTGTGATTGTCCATAATTCTTAGGAACTGTCGGCTGGACATGTAGATATGTTTACATTGATTAAAGCAACTGTTGATCACTTTTTATAAATGTAAATGTTTTTTGCACAAATAAAAATTGAAAGTTCTAGCTACTCAGTAAAGGCGATGGTTGCGTGGTGGTTGAAGTATTATACATGTAGACGTGTTCACTTTTTGCATGTCATTTGTTTAAAACCTTCTTGGTAATAAACATGTACAAGGTATGTGTACTCGGACTTGGACTCGGCCCAGTACTCAGCCTTGAATGTACTCGTATTCGGTGCTTTGGGTTTAGACTCATCACCAGTGTACTTTTACTCGGCCCAGGACTCACCACCTCAAGTACTCAGAGTATGCTGTACCCGGATTAGAGGACTCAACTTCAACACTGCCAGTATTCAGAAATCCTATCTTTCATGCACAAAATTTCAAATCAGCCTTGGTGTCCTGCAACTTTGCTGCAATGCCCTAAGATGTTCACAGGCTTAAAACTTAAGGCCAACTGGCCTTGCCTCTCTAAAAGTAAAAGTTGAAGCCTGTGCCACCACCAAGCGTTTCAAAGTCTCCAATTTTATTTTAATCTGAGCACAGCAGACATCAAGTTGATCACGTTTATATGTTAAAATTCCCAATCTGCAACATGAGGAGTACTGAGGCTTCACTTCACTTTAATTTATATTCAGTTGCCACTTCATTGAGACATTTTTAAGCTATGCAAAGCTTGCTTGCTGGGCAGACTACAAAGTAGTTGATTTGCATCCCAATTTTATGAAACAGAATTACAAAAAGTTAACATTTACGAGCCACTGCCCGTGCCAAAAACAGGACCGCTCACAAGCAATCCTTTTGACAAACTGGAAGAAAAATCAGTCCCATTTATTTCTGTTCCCATCGTAAAACAGAGACATGGTACTACCATACAAACAGGAATAAATGCCCAGCCATTCAGGGGTCAGAGAGTTAGACAACTTCCAGAGGACTGAGTACCATGTGATTATACAACACACAGGGAAGAAAAATTTTACATTTCAACCATGCTGCTCGATTGAACCATACACTAAGGACAAAGCATCGCATTGGTGAAAGAAAAAAGATGACACTGTATATTTTTCAAGTTAATTTGACACTTGACTGATTCTACATCAAGAGAAACACACACTACAAACACAGGCCAAGGGTTCCCCTAATTTTCTCTGTTTTCTCCAAATGACGCAATCTAAATTCAGAATTTGCATCTTGGTGTGAACAAAAAAGAGCCCTTTTTTAGCTTGTTATAGTTGTGCTCTGAAGACAAATGACACTGTGTTCGATTTGGATACTTCCACATTTATTTGAACAGATAAAATCAGAGAAAACATGTTTTTCTTAGAGGTGCTCTCCTTTAGTCACTGAGTTAACCAACTTTTCCCCTGGGATTAAGCATGCTCTTGCACTTTTTGTGCTTACTGCTTAACAGTCTCAATGAAAGAGACAAAGGCTTTGCTCATACAAAGCCAACAAATTGGGCCCTGGTAGGTAAAAACATAAGCCAGCCAAGCCCTGGCCTTGACCTGATGGGCACACTTAGTGCGGGGTAGTACTGGTGGACAGGACCACAAGACAACACAGATATAGGCTTCGGCATCACAGTTTCCTAACTCCATGGTAGTACAGTTTGTAAGTCAAGCAACTGTAAGCACAACCCAAGTTATGTTAACTCAGACTTCCTTAGAACAACCCAGATGGTTCTCCCTCACAGCCAGTACAAAGGAGTACCAATTCTGCTGAACCGTTCAGACTTTCACAGCCTTTCTGATACAATACATTAAACTGTACATGTTGAAATATACACGTTTGCTATCATGAGCTAAAATAAGTCGTCAAACCTATGTACACTGCAAAATGTGTTTTGAAGACAAGTACCAGTCCTTACATTTGCAGTGAACTACATGTAGTATCAAAAGGTCTGCATTTAACATTACATTCTATGAAAAATGTACTGTTACATGTACCAGAAAAACAACATGTACAAGTATGAAAACTGATGTGCATGAAAATTTTCAAAATCCCACTGATGGATTTTTAAAGTCACTACACACTTTTAAATCAATGAATTACCTTGTGGCCAAAGCTTATTGCCGGAACTACATGTACAAACGATGACCCCAATCATAATTCTCCTATCATTCCCCTTCCTTCCTCTCCTCCTCCCCCCCCCCTTAGAAAAATCTTTCCAACACAGGCAGACAAAACCAGAATATTCTTTGACATTACTGATGTCTAAAACAGGATACTGGTGCCAGAAGTGCTGACACATTTACTGATGTCCAACTAAGCAAGGGAGACAGCAAGGGGGTCAGACCATGGGTGCTGAGAGCCAAGTTACAACCAGGGGAAATCTATCAGCATGGTCAAGCAGCACACTCTGTGCCCTTAGTTTTTTAACCGTCCAACCTCAAAACAGTCCAAAGTTTGTATGTTGTTACTTATCAAGGATTGGGACTGTTCAAACATTTGGTCTTACACTGTTGTTTTATTATCCATGCTCTTTCTTTGAAACTGGGGGAAAATGAAGACATTTTAAGAATAATTATGAAATTTTGTGAGAATAAGTTTCTCAAATGTACAACACATCCCTAACGAGTGAGAATGGATTCCAAGATTTTTTCACCTTTTAGTTAACTGTAACACTCCTCAATCCTTCACCTCTTGGAGGACTGAGGACTTTTAGGGTTAAAATCCAAAATTTACTCACATTTTTTTCTGGACTTGCAAAATCATTTCCTTGACTTTAAAGGAATTTCCATGACTTCAATTTCTCTGATACTTCCATGATAAACAAGTATTTCCAGCACTGCAATAAACTATTACAGTACATGTACATTTGTTGTTTTTTTTAGACCTGTTTATGAAAAAAGCACTACTGATAATGTGACAAATTAGTGATTTGATTTCATCTCAAAACAATTTTGAAACTCTTTATCCTTTACTGTTTGTTAACTCTTTACAAATTACAGTACTTTTAATCAATAAATCAAATGGGCATTTCAAAGTATTCAGCAAGATAGGACAGAAAAAGTCACCGACAATTATTAGTAATATCACATCTTTAGGTGCACAGCAAGATTTTTGTGAGAATTTGAAAATCTGTTATCCCACATAAATTGGTATCAACTTCTAAAATGATGCTTTACCGGCAAACTGAACGGTTGGGAATTCAAAACAGATAATCCAGGCAACCATAATCAAAAGGGCTTGTCTGAACAGAAAATCGATTTGGATAATTTTTTTTTAACCAGATGAACTGCTGTAGATCTCGAGTTTCAAAACTTACCTCCCATGCACACAGCATATCCTGGACCAGTGATCTCTCCACACCTGCAAAAGGTCCAAACCGTTCCCCAACGGGAATATCAACCAGGGAGAACACACCAAGCCCAGCCTCCTGGATGCAGGATTCACGCAGCTCAAACTCCGGTGGAAGGACAACATCCTCTGGGACATAGACGGCAGCTGCAGAGTGCTGCTGCCGCTGTTGCTTGTGTTGCTGGTGCCGCTGGTGATGGTAGGTCTCCAGCTGCTGCTGACTGTCTGCTGCGTAGGCTTCAGTAATTGTGGTTGTGATGGGGGATGATTGCTGAAGCAGCGGGGCTTGGATGGGCTGTTGGGAAGAGGCTGAGTGGTCGTTAAGCATTTCATTTTCCATTGTCTCACCACGCTCACCTGCAAATAGGATTATATGAAATGGTTAGCCCCCTTAAAATTTAATTAATCTCAAATGTTATTCAAGTGGCCAAAATCTTGCAAACACTTACAGACATAACTCATAACAACTAAATATTTTTATTACAATTTCACAGTCATTTAAAGTCCAACCTGTAATCAAAACCTGTATGCAAATAATATGAAAACCATCTAGAAGTGTTTTGGTTATCATCTGTGATTTGAGTATCAGTGGTCATTGTCAATTGCAGTCCAAGTTAAAACTGAACCACCAATAATATTTCCGTTTCGCAAGTCACAACCTATTTTGAAATGAACACAACGTTCACAAACAACAAAAATTATGCACAAATGTACAAAATTACGCAACCCCCAAATAACTGAAAATTGCTATATGACAAGTTCATCACAAGTTGGTTTGTCTTTTCCTTCAAACTTCCATTTTTTCAAAAGAAAAAGACACATTTTAGCAAAAAATAAAGCCTACAAACCATGCTTTAACGTCACTTTTATTTACACAATATAAACTTAATAAACTTACAGTGAAGCAGCAATCACAATCAAAATGTGTGAGTTAGTGGCCTGTGTCTAGCACAGGTGGTAGTGTTGTTCTTGTAGTCAAGGTCTTGCCAGATCACAACTCTGATTGCATATCACACTGCCTAAACAATCTCAATGGAGACATCCCATCAGAAAATGTCTTTAATAAGCTCCCACACCATGCAGACTCCTGGGCTATTAACAAGAGGCCAGACTTAATCCCAAAGTTGACCTCCTCCTTTATCCAGGTCCAGACTATTCCAAGTTCATGCCAAACCACAGATACAAACCACCATCTTTATAAACTATCTATACACCACACTCAATGGCCCTCAGCCAACACACATTTCATGCATTGGGTTCATCCCCCTTCAGTCCTGCCAGGTGCAACCAGCCCTCCTGATTGGTCACATTTTGGTAACATGCAAACCGGGCTGTTCCATTCTAGAGCAGCCCCAGATGCAGAATGGATCTGACCAACTACATGCAAGTGTGAAATTTTCTACATCAAATAAACTTGGGGATCACTGTAATAGTTTGTGCACATACAGTACAGTACATGCATAAACTGCCAGAAAGTGGCCATTCTGTTGTACATGTAAACACTAGAGATAAATTTGTAAAATGTGTGTGCATTATGTGTAAACATGGTAAATTGATCAATCTTGCGGTTTACAGTGCCTTTAAACTACAAACCCAGCTACAGGTTTGTACATTTCCAAGACTCTCCATTGAGAACCACCATGTTACCACTATCTGGCCAAATTTTCATTGAGTCCCCTGTGCAGAATGTCTAATATCACCTTAAGCTGTATCTGGAAATCTTGAACCATTGCAAAATACACAACTTAACACTCATTTTAGAGGGATTAGCTACAGCTTTTATCTTCGGGGACTTCATCTATAGGAGGACAGAATTTGAGAGATGAGGAAAACATCAATCATTTTGTTACAATTCTTTAAACTCAACTAAAATTAAACTCCACTAAATGTAAAATGCGCATCACTGTTATACAAGCTGGACAGATGAATCTGACCCACTGTCTTTAAGAACTTTTTGAACTAACAGAAGAAATGGAAAAGGATTCAAACCAACGTCGTGCACCAAGATTGTTATCCTATCTCTTTTAAAATCTCATGAAATGTAGGAGCAGATCCAGCGGGAGAGGATGGAGGGGAGGGAACAGAACCCGGCACTTACAAAAGAGTTTGGATACCAGAAATGGACGTGAAACCCAAACATACAAACGAGGCATACTTGTAAATTTTGCTTTATGTAGTTATTAAGTTATTAGTCGGCAGCAGACGAAACAGGAAAAAACATGGTATATTTGTGAAAATTGCTACTATAAAGTTATTGGTTGAGGGCAGAAGACATGGCAAAGCTTTCATTTGTGAGGCTACAGCACTGTTCACCAATGTCACACAAGGAACAATTATACATGAGATCAGTTCTAACGGAGCACCAGTGCATGAGGGAACGAATGCTGCGGGCAGATTCCCATAATTTTCGTAACGTCTTCCTTCTCTGACTCATTTGTGTAATTCTGACAACTACATTCTAACAGGGTTCATGGAGAGATACAGGTCTAAATTGAAGTCCACAGCCCCTTCCCCACTGATAGCTCTATGCCCCACCTAATACATTTACATCTGTGTGTGTCACCCTTATCTTGTACTCGGTATCTGTGTCCCACTGCCATAATGTATCTGCCCTTCAACATCCGACAAGAATGAGAGAGGAAAACATATGGTTCTTGTTACCAAAAATATGCTGGATGCAACTGTTTAATTCAGACACCAGGCAATTTAATAGGTACACATTTTCAAAGCATTATTGATCCTGATGTTTTCCTGAAGTCAAATTCAAAATGAAAGGTTGAAGAGAGCTGAGGCTGGGGTAAGCTGTCAGGTACAAGTTCAGATGACTGTTGACAATGTCATCAACTCAGGTCTCCTGGAGACATATGGCAGATCCTGCCCATTCCCTTTGTACAACCAATAAAATGGCCTCAAAATTTAAATTACTCAAAACTTGAACCTTTAATCAGTTCAGAATACACTGGGAGTGACAGGCTACAGAAAATATTATTCCCCTATTCAAAAAATTTAGTATCAGTATTCTGCAGACGGCTGCACTCTTCCCTAGAGACATGAATAAAAAAGGCTCTTAACCAGCAGCAGGAAGAACACAGCGTACTTCTGACCCTAGCAAAGAAGTTAGTCAATCCTGACACATTGCTATCTGATATCTGCATTATCTTGCCGATGTTGGCATAGCCAGCATCCTTCCAATGTGAATTAGCCCACTCTCTGGGGGTACCTGAGGGCAGATATACATAGAAGGCTGCTGATACAGCCAGCTACTGACAGTTCCATGGGAGGGTACCCACTACCACAACGGGACTGAAGGGCCAAGTTAAGTGGGTCACTTTTCAAGCACCACATACAATCAGAGCACTGACTTCTGTGACCCTGGACTCACACTCAGACTCACCAAGAGCTGTATGGACTCATGCTAACATACACAGTAAAGTAAAATCACATGACAAGAATGTCTACCTTCTAGCAATTTACCATTTCCAAGAAATATACACAGAGTAGGCCTAAAGATAAGATTTTTTAGGACTCTTGTACACACAAGAGGATATATTACATAATTGAGTGAGCATTCCCATTCTTATCAGCAAACAGGCAAAAAAAATCAATTGCTGTGAACACTTGTTACCAACTTTCAAGCTAACTTTGGAACATGTATGCTTTAGACATGTTCTGTAGTTGATACATTTATAAACACCTTGAGCATTACAGCATGAGGCATTTTGTCACAGCAATCCTCAGTTTTATAAAAGTATCACACATCTTTGATACTATAGATGGTTGAGATGTAGGAGAAAAGAAACTTTTCAGCTAAGTTGGGACACCTTTCTGAATTTAATTCGGCTGGCCTAGATAATTTGTGTTTCTTCCTTGATGCCCAATACAGACAATGCGCCTACACAAACACACTTGTAGTTTGAACTTGAGGTTGTACAGTCCTGCCTAATTTTGTTCTAATTAGCTGTTTCGGTGTTTCGGCAAAGTCTGTCATCGTATTCTTCAAATCATCTACTGATGGCATCACGTAATGTTCAAGCGCCCTATAGCAACAGGTTAAAAACTCCGCAAAATGAATTTTGAATAGATGTCTGTGGCAAAGTTTGTCCAAATCGGCCACAAATAAATGTAGACCCATTATCCATTTAACACATGTGTGAAATTTGAAGCCAATATTTGGGAACTGGAAAATCCCATTTGCATACTGTGCATTGGCTACTATGTGCATGGATGTGCAATATTTGCCTGTAACATAGGCAGCGCACAGTGCGTAAGGCATATACTCAGGAACTGGCAAATTTCAAAGCACATGGCACATTCCAAGCACACAACATCATCAGGTGACAAATCACATGACACAACAGGTTCACTGTTTAATGCTATATCTCCTGAAGTACGTATTACATTGATTTAAAACTTTCCAGGTCAGAAAAAGAAAAGGAAGTGTTCTAGATGAAAATGACGTCATCAGATGAGGAGTCAAATTACATTTCATTTAAAGTAAGTCATTTCCTGAAGTGCATGCCTGATTAGGTTGAAACCTTGGATCCGAATGGTCATGATGAAACAATTACGCCATCAAGTTTATGCAGTAGATTGGTTGTTCAAATTAACAAAGGAATGCAAACTAGAGCTCATCTGTCTGTTTGCCAACAGAAGAGAGGGCTACTTTGCATTCCTTTGTTAATTTGAACACAAGTCTACAGCACAGTGCTTGTAAGAGTGCACCTTTAATGTCACATGACATGATCATCTGATGATGTCATCATCAGATTAGGTCAATTTCATCTATAACACTTCCCCTTCTAAATACCTTCCCCCTCTAAATACGTTAAGTTTCAACCCAATCAGACATGAACTTCAGGAGATATAGCACTTGAAAGAGTGCGCCTTTACTGTCACGTGACTTGTCTGCTGAAGTTGTCATCACGTGAGGTCATTCTTTGTCTAGAAATCTTCGTTCCCAACTATTTGTAAGGTTTCAACCCAATTAGACATGTACAATACAAAATACAAAATAAAACATTATGGTTATTGTGGAAAGAGCACGGACTAGAGATTTTAAACATTTGTCCCTTTTGGCATTCCATACAATGCGATCTGCTCTCAGCACCACATGCTTGGAAATTGCAACTCCTGGGTACATTGCTCTGCAGGGATTGTGCGCTGCCTATGTTGCAGGCAGATATTGCATGTCCATGCACACAGTAGCCAATGCACAGTACACAAATGGGATTTTTGAGTTCAAAAATATTTTAAGGTTTTTTTTGTCGGTACTTATCTATGTGAAGAAGCTTCACCAGTTATGTTGAGTTGCAGTTCACGCTTATATCTTTTACGGTTGATTTTTTACCGAATTTTTAGGCATAAAAGGATCTTTTATTATAAGTTCCAGTCTGATGATGTCATCAGCCCCAAACTTTACACATGTTGAATGGGTAAAGATTGTCATATCCATCCATTTTCAGGCAATTCGGACAAACTTTGCCACAGACATCTATTCACATTTCACTTTTCAGAATGTTCAACCTGTCGCTAAAGGGCGCTCGCCAATTACGCGACATCATCAGTAGATGATTTGAAGAATACTATACCCCCACCGACTAACACAATTGAAAGCAAGTTGATACCTGTTACCACTTTTAAACAATAAACCGACTTCCAGTTTCCATTGGAAGGAAGGGTCACGTGATTTGACCCGCTCGAGACGAATTGAAGACCACATTTTACTCTAGCACTTGCCACAAACAGGAGGTTGAGGGAGGCGACAGTTGATTTTATAGGATTTTTCAAAATTTAACCTGTTATTAAATATTCAAAATATAAAAAGAAATCACGTGATGACATCATCACGACGTCATGCTTAGAGACACATCTTTGCTATAGGGTCTTTGCTTGAGGCAACTTTCATGAAGATCTGAAATTGTAAAGGGACTATTGTGCCCTGGAGAAAAACTGTAGACAAAAGAAACATGATCTTCTGAGAAGAACATGTACATTTGTAGCAGAACCAGTCAGGCCACGGATACCAGTTTCAATGTTTTCTCTGGTATTACATGATACAACTTTTGTTTCTCAACAGTGCCACCAGTGGTCAGACATTTTGGCAAAATTACAAAAAATACAGACGCAATACAGACATGATTTGGTAATTAATAACCAATTTATTACACACTAAACACAATAATAGTTTATTTTCAAAACGTTTAAAACCATTGAAGTTGGTTTTTAATGAATGTCCCATTCCATGATGGACAGAGTGCCTTGCTTAAAGTTTGTCAAATATTATTGGTCCTATTTATCCTGCAAAAC